ATTGACCCTTATTCTGTAGTTCGTGCCCGAACTACGACCGCTCTGATTTCTCATTGGATGTGATATCTTGACGAGCAACCTTCCCCCTTTCTCCCACCTTTTGGTATGGATAGAACCAATTGGTCTCACAACGTAGAACTTTAGGATAGAGTTTGGTTAACTCTATGTAAGAATCATGGATATGATTACTTGCTTCCCTTTCTTGAGAGTTCAACATAGATCTAGAGAGTTTCGTAAAACTCTACACAAGCATGGATATGTTTGTTCCCCTTTGAACCTTGACCATAATCAAGTGTTCTTCAACCCTAGTGAGGTGAACTACGATTGCTCTGATTCTATCCTAGTTAGGATACGTAGGCAGAGGACGCGACATCTTTGCGAGCAAACTTAGAAACTATCTTTAGGTTTTAACCTACACCCTTTACCCAATCCCAACCTTAGCAAACATTTACCAACTTAGCATGCAACCAAATAAAAGGTTCCTGTAGAGTACTACAGATGTTTAGGATGTGAAATACCTACCCTATTGTCGCGGTGAAAATCGGTTACCAAACTATTGATTAGTTTGAATCTTTAATTCATTTTGCAACCAAACTTTGATTTGTCCAAAGGAAGGGATAAAGATCAAAATTCCCACAATGCAATGCAAATGCAAGGTTAGAGAGTTATAGGTTCGGGGGTTGGTTAAACTTATGGAAGGTACTAGCATCCTAAGTTTCTGTAGTACTCTACAGGAACCTCTTGTTTTATGTTTTTTTATTGCTAAGTGTTACCTACTTAATGGTTGAAAGACCTAGGGATTTATTTCTAAGTATACTCGATAAGATGTCGCATCTTATGCCTACATATCCTTACGGGAGTGGAATCAGAGTATCTGTAGTTCTCCTAAAGGGTTTGAGGAGTTCTTTGACTGTGGTCAAAGTTCCTACGGGTTTAGGGTAGTTGATTGATTGATTTTAGGAGAAGAGATGAGTCTTCATTTTAAGGGAGATTTAACCGCCACATGTTGTAGGAAAATAGTCTTTGCATCATCTTAAGAAAAGGACTTACGTACTCGGATAGGGATCAACGAGGTACACCTTTATCTCTCTTAAGGCAAAGTCCCTACGGCTTGATTGTATTGTTGTGGGGGTGGATATTCTATCTCACTTAAGATGATTGACATCTTTCTCTAATGTGTTTGAATTTTGTATTGTGTTGATTGTTTATTTCTATGTTGTAAAAGGGTCCTTCCTATGGGGTAGGATCTATCCTAGAGATCAACTTGAAAGGGATCAAAGATCACGTGAGAGTATGATGCAAATGATATGCACTACACACAAGTGTTGACTTATGTGTAGGTTTTTCCTTTGGACGGAATGCAATACGGTAAAGTAAATTGCGGATAATGTAAGGCATACACAACGCATGAAAGCGCTAAAGTGTGTGAAAGTGTGAATATGTGAGTGGTAGTGAAAGCGTGCACAATTGAATTGATGCGATGTTGATTCAATTTAGGCTAGAATCGATTTTAGGTGATGTTAAATTGAGAGGTTTGATTTTAGGAAGAAGTTAAATTTGGTTTGAACTAGTTTTAAAAAGGTTTTAGGTGACTTGATTTTTAGGGAGTTTATTTGATTTTTTTTTAGTGAGATTAATTTCAAAAGTTAAATTAAATTATATTAGTTTTTTATTTTAGATTAGATTATTATTTTAGATAGGATAATTTTAATTAAACGAAGATTTATTCAAATAAATTGTAGCAAATGGGAAAAAGTTTTATTAATTGTTATAAATTGATTATGAAATAGGTTTTTAGTTAATATTATTAAATAAATACAAATTATTTTGAATTATATGAAAATTGTCCTTGTATTATTATTTTATCATTAAATAAATTAATTGTCTTGTTATTTTTTTTTTAAAAGTCTTTATGGTAAATTCTTATTTAATAAAGTGAGGTTATCAAAAAAAGTAAATTAAAAGGTTGATTTAAAAAAAGGTTCAATTATTAGTTATTGGTTTATAAAAAAAATTAAGTTGATGATTGAAGGGTTAATAGTTATTGATTAAATAAAATAGTTTTAAATTAAATGACCTAAATAAAAAGGGTTATTTGCTTGTGTTAATAATAAAAAAACTGATTAAATTAATTAACTAAAAGAGTAATAGTTAATAAAAGGGTAATTAAAAGTTAAGGGTAAGATTAACAGCTAACGGTGGATTAAAAGGGGGAAGATTAAGAGTTAATTGGGAAATTAAGGTGTGGTTTAGTGAGGCGAGAGAATCCGGTGTGGTAGCCTTGCGAAGGTACACAGTAAGGGGTAAGGTAGAGTGCCCGATCAAATCCGTTGGAGATCTGATGACTGTGTGCGTGAGAGTCCATGGTACTACCATGGGCGTGCGTGCGTGAGATTATGAAATTACAACATTTTACACAAAATTACGTAGAAACCCTAGATTCCCCCAAAAAAAACCTAACCCCTTTGATCCTCTCTCAGCATTGTTCGCCTCCCTCGATCCCCATCATTTCGATTGCTATCGTTTTCCTTCCGCTTCTTTCTCATCTCGTTTTGTTGTTATTCTTCCCATCATCTTCTTCTCCATCGATCTCTTCTATCTTCTCTCGTTCATCACCTTCAATCTTCTTTCCCTAATCTGAAACAAAAGCAAACAAATTAACAGTTTCAATAAACTTGACACAAATGGAGGGATTACCACGAGCTATGGATGATGGGAAATTCTAGGTTTCGACGGTGGTTGCGGTGGTTTGCAGCGGGTTTCAGTTGAGGATGATTGAGATTCGTGGAGATGGCGAAGGTTTTAGAGAGAGCGGAGGGTTATTTAAGAAGGGTCGCAGTTCGCGGACGGCAAAACACGCAAGATAAGTCCTCTTCTTTCTTTGGTTTTTTCTGTATGTTAGGGTTTTGAATTGGGATTTTTGTGAAGTGTGTATTCTTGCGTTTCGTATCTGTGAATCTCCTTCTGTGAATGGATTACCGTCCCTTTTATAAGCTTCAAATGAATCTTGGTTTTTCAAAACCTGAGTTGAATGCCTTGAATGCCAAGAATATCTACTTTGAATAATTTCCGCTTTCGTCTTGACGAATTGAAAACCTTTCCTTTCCTATCTGATTGTGTTTGCGAATTTCTTGAACTAATTTTCACAATTGTAAACTTTCCCCGTTTATATTAATTGTGTTTATTTTCAGTTCATGATTAATGGATGTAAACACAACGGTTTGGAGACGAACAATAGAGCTTGGTGATTTTGCCATGGAATTTGAAGACGCGGGAGACATTGGGAAGAGGGACTCTCGGATTTTGCTACCTCCACTTAAGGCTAGAGGTTGATTTTGTATTTCAACCTCACTTGATTACTCTTGCCATAACTGTGATTAAGCTTTGGTCATGCACTATATATGATCCTTCTTTTAGAACTAATTTGAGTATTTGGTTTGCATTCTCTAATGGTCTTGTAGATCTGGTTAAGTTGGAAAGAGAACCGTGCTGCTATTATTACTGCCCCCTGCGCTACGTTATACGAGCGATGGAAGTCTAGGTGCGTGCAATGGAGAATGTTGATGGGAGTTAATGAAGGTCTTTGAAAGCTTTCCATCTTGGTTTAGACATGTATGGTCCACTTTGGAAGGTAAATCCTCTCTGATTTAATTATGTTGGCTGCCCTGTGAAAAGCTTAAACTCAAATAACTTCTGTTGAACCTTGTTTTGGAAACAAGTATGTGCTGAGTTATGTTTTATGATTGCATTCCAATAAAATTGAATATGTTTCCAATTCTCGTCTGGTATGTCTGATCGTGTAGGTGAATCGCTTCGTGTTCCTTCCAATGTGTTTGGAGGATAATATAATTAATTTTTTTTGGCATCTCTTTCGATGAACTTCAGATTATGTTCTGAACTGTGTTAACTTTTCTCTACATAAAGCTTTTGAGATGTTCCCAGGTGCCAATAAATTAAAAACTACAACGGGAATGGCATTTTCCTCACAGAATGTCAAGGCTGACATATCCATAGATGTGACACCTCTAGACACTAGCTCCCTGAAGGATATGTGTTCGAAAGTGAAATTACTGTCTCGGGAGTTGCAGTCATATAGACCATCTAGGTTAGTAGCTTTGAGGACAGCCTGAGCATTAACTTCTGAAGCTCGAAGATCAGCAGCTATGTCGGTTGAGAAAAGTGGATTGCTAGCACCAAAACCAATGCCACCAAATATAACTACTCTTCCTTTCTCAAGATGTCTGATGGCTCGTTGCCTATTGTATGGTTCAGCAAACTCCTGCATTGAAACTGAAGTTTGAACACGAGTCTGAACACCCATCTTCTCAAGGGTTGATTAGAGCAGTAACGAATTCATCACAGTAGCCATCATCCCAACTTGGTATGCAGTACATCTTTCTAAACCTGTAGTCGTTACCCATGCATCTCCACAGAAGAAATTTCGACCTCCGACAATAATTGCTATCTCGACACCAAGGCGGTGCATAAATGTAAAGGGTTTTCCAAATTAATCTGGAGTAGAAATCCTATTAGAGTGTGATGTCTGCTGGGTATGCTTTAAATTCCTTTCTATTTAACAACACTCAGGAGCGTGTTCTAAATCGAGTCTTGTTGTTGAAATGCAGGTTTAGTCCCAGATTAGAGGTGGATGGAGCTAGTACTATAATTTCGTGATGTTATTGCAGTTGAATTGATGCATGGTTGTTCTTTGTGTATTGAGAACTTAGGCATTTTTCTTCTTCTTAAAACAAATGCAGGTTGCTAAAATTTGAATACCGCAGATTACCGTATCCGGTGATGATATGGTTTTGTGCTCGCCTGCTTCAAGACACTTGAGGGAAGAAAAGTTCCTTTCCGTATTTGTTTGATTGCTTTCGATCCACTCGTGCTTATAATCTAATCAATTCGTTTGTTTCTTCTTTTGCAGAATACCTTGGAGCAACGGCTTGATACGCTTGTAAATAAGACATGTTCAAAATCTTGTTAGCTGTGGCAGAACTATGACTGATACTTTGAAATTTCAGGACTTGACTCCATGGTGTCCGTTTACCGCATTTGAAAGGGATAAAGAAAACCGTAAGCGAAGCCGGAAAAACCGACAAGGTGTGGAAATCTTCTCCTTCTGTATATAAACTCACAAATCTTGAAAGTCTGTTGACTGCATTAAGCTTCTGTTCTGTTTGCTTTGACAAGTTAATTGTATTGTAATGGTGGCAGGTCTTACCTCCCAAGTAAGAAAGGATCTCAATAAGGTTAATCCAAAAGCTGCTGAACCATTGGCTGATCTTGAGGAATATCCGAATCTGTTTGAAGACTGGCAAGTTGCACCTGCTGTTGAGTCTAAGGCTGCAGAAACATTGAATGTTTACCCTCTGGCAAAGCAGTACATCAGTCATGTTGGCAAGTAGATTTGTAGTATTATCATGTTCCTTAAGCAGTCTGAAGGTGTCTCCAAGCGTGTAGATTCCTTTATGCGGATAATATGTTGGCGCAGTTCAATGACGCACCGCCTTTTGTTTTGACCCCAATGCTACCTGACAAGATGCGTGGTGCTGATTTTATGATCCTGTCTGAGCTGCAACTGCAATGAGGAGATTGGATCACAGAACGGTTTATCTTCAGTACGTGTTGCTACCGCTTTTGCCCTGTTACTTAATTTTGACGTGAAATTTCTGTCTCAAATCAATCTTAACTCCTCTGTGGTTCTTACCATAGGCTGATACTCGTGATTTAAATCCTTGCCCTGTTTTGTTATCTCGTATAATTCATGGTTTTCTAAATAATTTGATCACGTTTTGCCCATTATTTGAATTGACTCAATGACTTACTAAATCCATTCACTTTTCTTATTAGGTTATAAAGGAATCAAAGTGATAAGCTGTAGCTTAGCATTGACGACATGTCTCGGCAGTACCGCGGTTCAACTGAGTTTGGTCCTGTTTTATGAATGTGTTACAATTTCCCTTTAGGCTAGGCTAGGCTTAATTCTTTGGATTGTAAAGAGCACCAAGTCTTTTATTTCTTGTACACGACCATGGTTTTCTTATGACCATCCTTTGCATTGTATTCCTTATAACGCTTGAATTTGTTAATTGAATTTCTGAGTTTTTCGCATTTGGAGTGTTTTAATTGGAATGAACCTTACAAATCTTCAAAGTTAAAACCTCCTGAACCTCGAGAGAAACGCCACCGTGACTATGATGACTTGTGGAGTTTGAACATCAAGGCCTAAAATGTTGGTGTTTAATCTTGAGACCATATCCTAAAATGACTTAAACTTGTACTTAAACTTTATTTATAATAGTGTAACATAAATCATTGCTTGTATTTCGAATCTTCAAAATCCGGTATCATGGCGGCTTGAGTTCAAGAAAAGAACAATATATTTTATCTCGGACCTTAACCATATGAATCCATAACTTTACTATTAACCTGCACGCCCTGACTTCTGGGAGTTTAAATTTGTAAGTTTGTAACCTCTTGCGCTTGAGTAAAAAACCAAAATTCCTCTCATGGTTTGAATTTAAATACTGGACCGAATTGAGGATGAATTTGATCATAGTAGACAACTCCTAACAACAAAATGGCATAAATCCCAATCCTTGAATACTAGACCCTTATATGTATCACTTCGTGATTCCCTAAACTTCCAGCAGCAACTTGTCTTTCACAAAACAAAACAAATAAGTTGGTTTAAACGGTTAGCTATGCATAATGATTGACTTAAATGATATGTAAGAAAAGTGCCCGAGGAGGTGGGATCTTTAAGGTCAAAATATAGGGTGCGACACCTATGTATAACCAACCCCCGATCCCCGAATCTCTTAGCGTTGTTGTTACATCGCGAAAAAGGTTTTTCTTTCTTTAGACCTTTCCTTTGGATAAATTAAAGTCCAGTTGTGAATTCAATAAATTAAGATTCAAGTTAATCAATAGCTTGGTATCACGATTCTCACCGCAACACGGGGCTCTCCATCGTTTTGGTTGTTATCACGAAACTAGAATCGAGGGGGAAATGTCCCTATTTGCATAAATACATGTTTGCATTTTAGCATGTTTCTCGCATTTGCAGGTGCATCGGAACTGTTAACTTATCTTGTTTCTTGTGCCACTAGTGTTTCAGGATTGCAGAACAGATAACTCATCGCTACGGTACTAAAGGTAACCAGAGAAGGCTGATGGATCAAATGCAAGTGGAAATGCAAGAGATGAGGGATCGTATTGCACAGCTGATGGATATGATGCAAGGAGTTGCTACCGGTCAGGCTCAACTTCAGACTATGGTGCAACCCGTGTTGACACGAGTTGATGATGATGGGGTACTATATGGTGAGATTGCTACTAACCATACTCGGGTTGAAACCCCTCAGACGGGCAATTCAATACCAACTTTAGTCATCCCTAATGCTGGAGGGGGTGGTCCCGGAGCTGGTGTTGGGAATGAGACAGGTTTTAATGCTGGCAGTAATGGTAACGAGAATGGACATGGCTTCGGTTTTGATACTACAGGTGGCATTCATGGTAGTTTGGACCACACATGGAACGAGGATCGGCAAGAGGATATATTCACTCTAAGGTTTGTAAATGCTGCAGGACCTTCTGAGGCTGATAGAAGCATTCAAATGATTGAAGAAAAGATGCGATCTCTTGAGTGCCAAAATTCCATGGGACTAGATATGTCCAACCTGGGGCTGATCCCAGGCTTAAGAATGCATCACGAATTCAAAGTTCCCGACTTCGATAAGTACAAAGGCACTACTTGCCCGAGGGTTCACATGCGCTCGTACTATAGGAAGATGTCCGCGTACTCGGATGATGAAAAACTCTTGATGCACTTTTTCCAGGATAGCCTGTCCAGCCCCTGTTTGGAGTGGTACATGGGGCTGGAGCCCACTAACGTCCGCAGCTGGAAAGAGCTAGCCGAGGCTTTCGTAAGGCACTATCAATACAATAGTGACCTTGCACCGAATAGAGTCCAGTTGCAGAATCTCTCTCAAAGGAATAAAGAGTGCTTTAAAGAGTATGCCCAGAGGTGGCGAGAGCTTGCTGCTAGAGTGCAGCCACCAATGGTAGAAAGGGAGTTGGTGGACATGTTTGTTGCTACTCTACCAGGGGTGTACTATGAAAAGCTCATAAGCAGTATGTCCGGAAGTTTCTCAGATTTAATAATCACCGGTGAAAGGGTGGAGAACGGCATCAAGCTTGGAAAGATTCAGGTGGGAGAGGTACCCTCAGCTAGAGGAGGAGGAAAGAAGATATTTGGAAACAAGAAGCGTGAAGGCGACGTTAGTTCAGTAACAAGTTCTAGAGAAAGAGGAAGGGGTCAGCCATAGAACCAATATCGCCAACAGCAGGTGGCCAGTGTCACTATTCTTATGCCACAGCAATAGAGACCACAACAACAACAACAGCAAAGACAGTATCGGCCACAACAGCAAAACCAACAAGGTTATAGGAGGTATCCTGATAGGGCCATGCCGAATAGAGTATTTGACACTCCACCAATGCCCTACTCTCAAGTGCTTCACACTTTATTGAAGCTACAATTAATTCAGAAAAGGACTCTTGCTTCTTTGACAGGTGATCCCCCACCCGGCTATGATGCAAATGCACATTGCGAGTTTCACTCTGGGGCGCCAGGTCACTCTATTGACGATTGCAAGGCTTTTAAACACAAGCTGCACGATCTCATTGACAGTAAAGCGATAAAATTTTCTCATGATGCACCTAACGTTGTGCAGAAGCCTATGCTAAACCATGGGCAGGATAGGGTTGGTGCTATTCTGGTAGAGGAGGATTTAGACTTGATAATGGATGTGAATGAATTGAAAACTCCATCGAAGTTTTTGAAGGACAAATTGCTGGGAGGAGGTGTATTCCCAGGATGTGATGAGGATTGTGTTGATTGCTTGAGTCATCCTGAGGGATGCGTTGATTTAAGAAGGTTTATCCAAGGAATGATAGACGAGGGGACGTTTCAGTTTGAGCGGACTGCAGAAAAGAAACCTGTTGAGGAAATGAGCAAGGAGAGGGATGAGGTCGCTACGATCTCGATCCCATATAAGAATATAACTATTTCAGCGCCACCTAGGCCACCAACAATCACTATTACCACAGCAGGACCTGTGCCTTATGAAAGCACCAAAGCCATCCCATGGAACTGTGGGGCCGAGGTGTACTGTAATGGTCAGAAGATAGATTTGAAAATTTTTCCTGTGGAGTCTGCAGAGAATGTTGTGGGAGCAGGGGCAATTACTCGAAGCGGCAGGGTCTTTGCATCGCCTGAAGTGGTAGCTGAAAAAGCAGATAGAGGGAAGGGTAAGATGGTAATTGAAGAAACCTCCCAGTCTGGTGAAAAAGGATCTTTGGAAAATGATGTGGAGGAGGTCATGAGGCTAATATGCAAAAGTGACTACAAGATAGTCGAGCATTTGCAGCAGACACCTTCCAAAATTTCGATATTATCGCTGTTGTTGAGTTCCGAAGCTCACAGAAATGCATTGATGAAAGTGTTGAGTACCGCTTTTGTGCCTCAGGAAATATCAGTGAATTAGCTTGAAGGGGTTGTTGGGCATGTAAGCGCGGGAAATGTCATTGGATTTACAGATCTAGACTTAACGCCAAGAGGTAGAAACCACAATTGTGCGTTGCACATTTCTGTTGAATGTAGAGGAGTGGTTATGTCTCATGTCCTTGTTGACACAGGGTCATCTTTGAATGTGCTGCCGAAGAAGGCACTTATGAAACTGGATACTAGGGGCATTACTTGTACACTAAGTGATTTGGTTATACGTGCTTTCGATGGTACTCAGAGGTCTGTCTTCGGTGAGCTGGCTTTGCCTATCCAAGTAGGCCCAGAAGTTTTTGACGTTGTATTTTATATCATGGACATTCAGCCCGCTTATAGCTGTTTGTTAGGCAGACCATGGATCCACTCAGCTGCGGTTGTCACATCGACTCTGCATCAGAAGTTGAAATATATGGTCGGTGGCAGTGTTGTGACAGTATGTGGAGAAGAAGACATCATGGTTTGTCACTTGTCTTCTTTCAAGTATGTTGAAGTAGATGGGGAAATTCATGAGACCCTATGTCAGGCGTTTGAAACCTTTCAGTTGAAGGATAAAGCGCCGGTGGTGAGAAAAGAGCCTGAGGTGGCTATGTCTTCTTTCAAGGAAGCGCAGGCTGTGGTGCAAGCTGGCTCAGAACAAGGATGGGGGCAGGTGATTGATATCCTTCAAAAGCAAGACAAATTCGGTCTGCGGTACCATCCATCGTCTTCACAGAGTACACCGAAGTTTAAGGGGCCGATCAGGTTTACCAGCGAAGGTGTCTTCTTCGAGCAGCTCAATGCCATTTCTGAGGACGAAGCTGGAGACAGTGACTGCGACATGGATGCCTGGATCAAGCC